CAGAATCCGCATCACCTCCATGTTCGTCGTCTTCGGCTTCTTCAGGTTGACCTTCGTGACCACGATCGATTCTCGGATCTCCTCCGTCATATTCCTCTTCAGGAGAATACCCGTCATCACCGTGTTCCTCTGGTTCTCCTTCGACGCCTGCAACAGCTGGATTGATATCAGATTCACCATCCTGACCTCTCTGGCTATCTTTCTTCTTTCTCCTCCGTCTCCGTGGTTTCTTGGGCGGAGGTTCCTCCTGTTGTGTCTCCTGACCTGCTGTGGCCTCATCTTCATGCCCCACACCTGACAGTATGCGATGAAGTATCGTGGCCAAGCCGTCTGGTCTTGGTAAACATCTCCCGTCATCATCATTCACCTTGATGTAGGGTATGTTGTCATGCACCGATAGCGGAATCTTGTTCGCGTTCTGGTCGATGAGGTATGGCAATTGATTTGCCGGCCATACGAATGAGTACCCTTGTTCCATGCACCGTTTCCCGATGGAAAAGACTGATGGTGTGCTCTCCAACACGTGTGCCTCGGACATCATGGGTAGTTCGTCCACATTGATGTCCACCATCTCTGATGTACTAGTTACACCATTCGCTGTCATGAAGCTCACGGATTTGGGTCCTTCCTTGGTGGTAAGGCCCATGGCATTGACTTTCTCTCTTGAGATCAAGTCGTGTCCACATCCCGTGTCCATGATGAAGCGTATCGGTGGTCCATCATACCTCTCCACAGCCATGAACATCGTGTCTCCTGGTATCGTGTAGTTGACAGAATCCTTCCTTACTACCTCGCTGGTGTTGAAGTCAGACAGGTCGACGTTCACCTCGATTCCTTCATCTTGAGTGATTTGTATCCATGCCTTGGCAATGTGTTCAGCAGAGTATAGCTCCATCATCTTACCTTTGGCATGTGCTACTCGCGCAGCTATATTGCTCACTCTGAGGGCTCTCAACGATGAAATGAGCTCGGTATCCACCTTCTGCACCTCACTCTTCTTCTTCCTGAGGGGACGGGTGTTTAGCTCGTTACCAGGATCGCAGGTAAACGTGGTCACATTCGCCCGGTCATCAAATCTGACTTTAAAGCGAAGCGCCAGCTTACCTTGTTGTACGTTGGGAAGTGCGGGTTGCACGTCCTCGCCATCACTCTCGATGTCTCCGCAAAGCATGAAGGCTGGCGCAGCCGGTTTGGGCTTGGCTTTGCCTTTAGCTTCTTGTTTTGTAGCAGGAGCAGCGTGATGCTGACGTCGACATTTGTCCCCGAACTTGCGCGATCCTTTCTGCCAATTCCAACAGACCTGATCCTTCATTGGCTTAGGGCTACTGCTCCTGCCACCAGGACTCTTTGATCTGTCACCCTTGAGGCTTTCTGGTTTCTTAGCAGAACTTTTGTGCTTCTCTTGGTGACTAAACTTGCATTTGTCTCCTCTAAAGCATCCGTTTTTCCCATGGAAGTGGAAGGCGCATCCTATCTTGGACGTATCTGCTGGAGTCGCTGACCTGCCACGATCCCCCTTTGGGCTCTTCGTGGTTGATCTTCCACGATCCTGCTTCTTGTCCTTCTTGTTGTGGTCCTTCGGATTAGCCTGAGGAAGTACTGGAGCGGCGTCATGCTTCGGTGGATCGGCCTTGGTATTCTTGGGTTTCGCTTTAGGGTCCTTCTTCTCCGCCGCTGGTGTGGCTTTCACGAGGTTCCCAAAAGCTTTTTCCCTTTCTTTCTTGTTTGTGGTCTCGATTGATTTCCGTATCCACTTCGCCATGATCTCTCGTAACCTCTGGTAGGTCTTATCCGGATCCTTATCCAACATGTTGTCGTACACGGACAAGTCTAACGCCATAACTTTGGAATCCTTAATCTTGTCCCAAAGCAGGTTGCGGAGTGCTTTGTCAGGAAGCATGTCATCCGCATCCATACCTGATATGATCTCATCCCACTGTCCAAGGAATCTGGATAGTTGATTATCCCCAGGGAACTTTAGATCGAATAAGTGCTTGGATGCATACATCACATCGACGTTGTCGGCACTCCGGAAGCTATCGACGATCAACGCTAACATTTCTCGTCCCTTGACCATTCCAGGAGTTGTGCCTCTCGCACGTCTCTGCATCATCTGCCTCACCTTCAGTTGTACGTCATGAGATCTCTCACCTGCTGCGTGGATGATCGTATGTAGGGTGATACCTAGCTTAGCGTCTATGCTAGCGAATCTTGCTTCGCCTGATGTCTCGAGCAGAAATGGGTCGTACGGTGATCTGAAGGCATCCGAGAGCCACTGGATCCAGTCTTCTTGTCTTTCGTCGCCCGATGCCGTCACGACTGCCGCTACAACCTGGGATTTCCAAACCTCCAGGTCGTGTATCTTGGGCCATGCAGGGATGTTGATCTTCTCGTGTTCCTTCCGAGATATCTTGGAGCCACCTGAGCTGGAGGATGAAGCGGCACCATGCTCGGTTGCGGCTGCATTCTCAGCATTCAAGCGCTCCTCTTCGTACCTCCTCCGGTACTTATTCCTCTCATCTCTGAGCCGTGCTGCGTGCGCTTCGAATTCCATCATGTCCTGTTGGTTCTGCATCATACCTTCGTAGTACTCCATTGCCTCTTTCTCCTCGGACTTTAATGACTTTTCGGTACGTCCAAGTTCCGCTCTAAGCTTGGTCATCATCTCGTTCTCCACATTGGGTTCTGATCCCATGTCTGGTGGTTTCAACTTCAGTGCGACCTTCAGTTGTGCTTCACTTGCGCTTGATTCGATCAATTCTTCCTGAAGACGTTTCAGCATCCTCTCTTTACGTAGAATGTCTTCTTCCAACATGTTCACCTTGACTTCGGCTTTCTTGAGTTCGGCGTTGGATGGTTGAGACGGTCGATCGGGTCCTTGAATCCTCGCCTGCGTCAACTCCTCGTTCGCCTTCTTCAATTGCTCCCTGATGGTCATGATGAAATTGTCCTGATTATTAGATCGGTTGTTGAGCTCCTCATTCTCTTCTGATAACCATTTGATCTTGCTTGTATACATTGCTTCCCTCATCTTCATCTCTTCAGCATATTCGTGTTTGTTCCTGGCACTCTGTCTTTGTATTCCGACTAACTCCTGTCTACACAGATCCTTGACGTTCTCAGCATCCGCGATTGTAGCCATGACCTCGGTTATGGCTCGATCTCTTTCCGCCGATATAGCCTGGATCTCTTCCGTGCCGATGTTCACAACTTGACTAACCATCTCTGCGCTGTTGCGATCAGCGTACTCCCCTAACTGGGTGAGACGATCCCGCATTGCCACACGATCAGTGTCAATCTGGTATTGCAAATCGTGTGCTGCTGAGAGCAAACAGTCTCTGGATTCTGTAAGTTGGGAGATTCTTCGTTGATTTCCATATCCTTCGACATAACATTCTTCGAGGTGTGCCATCACTACTTCGTGGACTTCGGTCTCGTGTTGTATAATCTGGTTCTGTCTCTGCTCACATTCGACCATCCATGCGTTTTGGTGGTTCAACATATGCACTTCGGCAAGTAGTTGTGCGCACTTCGCATTGAGGTCTCCATCGGCCCGTGCTAGATGTAGGTTGTCAGTGCTTGCCCTTGCTCCATCTCCAGCTTCGCTGTCCGACGGTACTGGTACAGTTGACCCATCCTCCAATGCTAACACTCTCACTGCTCCGGTGTCAGTCCTCCTCCTTGTCTCCCTAGGGCTACGGCCTGACCTCGGTGTCCCCCCCGGTGGTGTCGATTGCGCTGACGGGGAACGACTTCGTGCTCTACCTGTCGCAACTTCTCTCACCACTGTCAGAGTCTCCGCTTCGATCGTACCTGGACTAGAGTTGTGGGATGCACTCATCCGATCTGCGGCCGCAGCAGCTGCTCCAAAGGATGCAGTGCTGGCGTCGGATTGGTCCATCTTCAGTGACTGAGGGTAACTGATCTATCCGATGCGTGTGCGTTTAGATGGTGTTGTGTAAGGCCGTAGCTCGTACCCAGCTCAAAGGAGTCTGGATACGGCTGATAACCTGCGAACGGATGAAAAGTGTGCCCTGGCCCCGTTCTAGCCCTTAGTTCAACATGAAGCTCGCGCGCTAAAGCTCCTTTTTACCTGGTTGGGCACTTGAGCCAAAAGTATATGGCATGTACCTGTATAGCAACTATACTGGGACCTCATCCCTATTGACAATAATTCCTGTCATATTTTAATAGCTGTAGGAAATGAATTAATGCTGTAGGTTTATTATATTTTCCATTGCCACAAGTCAACCTTAATATTAGATTGAAAAGGCACAATAACTACCATAAAAATATAATATGAATATAAAAGATGTCCTACAAATATATTATTAATGAATTGAGGAGTACTCACTGACTCTTGGAGGAGTACTGGGCATACACCACTGGGACAAAAGTGTTCTTCTTGAAGGTTCCGAATTGAGAACCCTTTCGCAAGGTAGAAATCCTGTCCACGACACAGATGGTGTCGCCTCACACGCCTATGTTGAGGCTATTTCAAATGACGTTGAGAAAAGCTTGATGTGTCCTTCTACTACGCTGCGGTCGAATCTCCTCCCTCCAAAGCTGTTTCATCCACATAGATCATAGAATTCCATACATGGAAAGGTGAAATTAGGGGTAGATGCCTGAATTGCTGCCTTCTTTGATGACCAAATATTAGGTTTGAGGCTTTGACATTGTGTCTCTAAAAAACAATCAACTGTTTTGTGGCATCTTCTGCTGCCATAGCAGCAGCAATCACTACCTTATATAGACCACCACTACAACCATGGCTATAGTACGGTAGTGCCAACAGGGATGCAAAATAGACCCCATGGTTTCAGCAGGACCTCTTCTGCCCACACACCATGCGAAACATTCCATCATTGTCTAGAATCCCGTCCCAGCTGAGATGTGGCCGTACCGCGTTTCGTGGGGTGTTTTTGGGTTTCAGCGTCCCAAATAGTGCAACCTTCTGGCTATAAAGCCTTCTACCTTGCAGCACCGGCCGCGCACGCCTCATCCGTAATGGTGCCATGCCACTCACTGCATCGAGCCTGGGCAAAGGTTTCAGTGCAGGCTCGGTTGCACACGGTTTTGGGGGGCACAAAAGGAAACAAGCTTCTGTCGGACCGTCGTAAAGAATATCACGAAGAGAGGAGGTGGCCAGAATCAGAGGGGTTTGTCATGAGCGTCTGCTACTGCTCGAACGAGAGAAGACCTACAGAGTCCTGTGAGCTCTCAATCAATTCTGACAAAGACTGACTATATTCCCTTTGGAACTCGTGACTTAAATCTTAAATCCACGCAAAGTATCGAAAACAACAAACAAACAATCGGCAAGCCCACTTCAGGAAAAAAGAACTTGACCCAGGCTTTGAAGGTCTTTGAAGGCCGGTTCACTTGGAAAACCAGACCAGGTCTGGATCGAACGGAAGAAGAGGCGCTGCTTCTTCTCATTTCCCCCTGCGTTGTGACTCGGTTCCCCGAGGACTTGACTCGACAAATACCCGTCTCTCTCTCCGAGCACCCCGGCGGGGGAACCCCCGTGCCGAGCGCGCATGCGCAAGCGCTCGAAGGCCCAGCGGAGCTCGGCTCGCGACACGTGACCGGCGGCCTCGTGGGTGGCCACGGAATGAGAGAATCGTGGGTTGAAATCGATCACTTGAAGCTCTCAAGGAGTCATTCAAGGGTCAGGTCACTTTGAAGAAGGCTGGTTGGAGACCGTGGGTTGATGATGTGACCCCTTTGGCCTCATGTAAAGACAGTGTATGTTCAAAGAAGGTCGGGTTTCAGTGGAAGCCAACCTCATACACTTGAAATCTTCAGCTTTAAAGCCACACAAACCGCGAATTGGGCAGGAGCCTTTCGTTTCTCAGGTGAAAAAGGTGTAAAAAAAATAAGAAACATGTCAACCCCAAATCTCTTCGACTCTTTTCCAAAGAATGGAAGGAACCCATCAAAAGCGCAGAAGCATGTCCAGCCGGCAACAACTAACACCAGAATGTCCTTTTGGGAAGAAAATAGGCTGGATCCTAGGTACCATATGGTACCATACCTATTGTTTGTTCACTGCTGGGTATCTCCCCTAATTACTCACCAGTCAAATGGACATCCATCAGGGTCACCACGACGGACATCTCGACGGACGTACGACGTGAAAGACCGCTGTACTCTCCTCTCCTCCTCCCTGGGGCGAATCAGAAAGCCCTGCAGCTGCCGAAGACCCAACAGGAGCGCCAAAGCCCTGCGAGTCGAGTCAACTCGTCGACTCGTCCAGACTCGTCGTCCACACCCCGAGAGATCGAGTCAACGTCGCGAGAGACGACACCGGTGACTGACATGGTGACAGACATGGCGGGTGTGGGGGGGGAAGGTGTGAAAGGGATGTTGTGAAGACCGGACGAGAAGGAGATAGCTGAAGGTTCATGAACTCTCAGCAACAGTGGGTTGTGTTTCTAAAGGCGTGAATCAAGAAAATGTGTGGGTTGCAAAAGAAGGACTGAGCATGTGCATAAGTTAAGTCGAAAGTTGCAGGTTCATCAACCCGGATCTACATGTTTCGTCTCAAACTTCCCACCGAGACTAACACGGCGACAGTGGGCTCGGGAGCAATGATCCTTCGGGAGATGCTTCCTCTGAGTCCCAACATCCTGGAGGAGGGGGGTACACGTCATCAGCCGCCCAAGAACAAAAGCCGCCAACAAGATGCCCCAGCTTCGAAGTAGAATGAGAACAATGCATGAAGGCCTTGACGAAAACAAAATATGGTTCTGACTTAAAGCCACGGAAAACCTGCACCCGGCGTTACATTTTTTGGCCGCGTGCGGCTTGGGGAGCCTGCGCTTGGCAGGGCTTTTCTGCAAAAGTGGTACAAGGTGTTGAAGCTGCAGTTCTCAGCCGCAAAGACTGCTTAAAACATCTGATTACTGTCAGTTACTGTGGTTACTTTGCTCAAAAACCGCTCAACAGAAATCGGGTGGATGTGGATTACAGGACGTGTTGCTGCCACTTCAGAGGCCATTTTGGGTAAAATCCTGCAGGACCTATGCAAGGTTCCTCTCACCCTGTTCCAGGTTCTGCCCATGGGCAGCCCAAGAAGTCCAAACACCCCAAAATGTTGCTACTGATTTGTGCTGCTGAAGAGCAGTCACCTGGCAAGCAGAAATCCCGTTTTTGCCACACGATCCGGCCCAACTGAAAAATCTCATTCTATTCAAGCCACTTTGGTCCTTCATCCTGGCATGAACCTCCTAAGTACAGAAGTAACCATGAACACCTTTCATGTTTCATGCAGTTGATGTACAAGACATGTACCTAGAACAGCAGTGTCCTGTCATCCCCACATGTTGCGGGATTCTGTCCATGAACCATACGCCTACTCAGGGTCCAGGATATATCATCCCGTCAGGTCGTCCGTCTTTGCCGAGAAAGCAGCAGGCTCTTGCCACATGGAGCCAACAATCCGCGCACCCAACCACATGACTCTGGGAATGGTAAAGGCATCTGCAACAACAAACGATGTGTGGATGAAGTCCTTGGCAGTTAGTGATCGTTTGCTCCCATCCTCTGCATCACGTGGCTCTCGGGGAGGCTGCAAATCACCGGCTGAGGCATCTTTACACAGACCTTTCAGGAGCACCTTCCCTTCTTGCGCCTTTCATCAGACGGCCCTAAGTTCCAACAGACGTCGAACATGCAAGGTTGTCATGAATTGTCATGTCAAATTTGGTTTGTCAGCCTAAACTTCGTAGTTAGCATCGAACCATGATATCATTGCCCGGTTCGTCACCGGACACAAAATTCCAGGACCGCCCGATCGAAGAGTTTCGTCCAAGCACTGCCAGATTTGGGTCACACGTGTTTGTCCCCTTTCGTCCTTTTCTCTTTCTCCTCTCTCTCGCCCCTCTCTCCCTGTTTCCTTCTCTTTCTGTGTGGTGTTTCTCTCTCTCTCCCCTTTTCTCCCTCTGACTCTCTCTCTATCTCTCCCTCTCTCTCTCTCTCGCTCTCTTTCTCCCTCCACTACGCTACAACCTACCTTGAGCATCACCTCACGGTGGAATGGGCTAAGTTTTCAGGCCGTTCCCAAACGAGGATCCCTGACCCACGACTCTTGGCTGTTTTTTATCATTCACAACTCTGTCTTCCAAAAACCTCAAGCTGCAAGTTCGGGGCCCTCCGATGGTTTGTTGGAGGTAGACGCATGTAGAAGATTGAATGTTCAAGCACCCTGGCCTAATCGCACAAACGGTCCAAACCCTGTGCAGCCAGCATGAGTCGTAGCCTACAGTACGTCACCCTCTGTTTCCGTTGCTTGGGCCCTTCTCCAAAAAGCACTTCCTCGCACACGTGTGCCCACCATATGACAAACTCTTACGAGCCGAAGGTTGCCGCAAATCGCCCAGCAAATCGAAAGTCCAGCAACCCATTGCCGAGCCAGCTCTATATTCAAAACAAAGTACAGCCCTGCAACTGTCTAGACAACATTGGCTAAGAAAATGAAAGGCGCATGGTTCTGCGGGCCCCCCGTAAACTAAACCTGTGCCTGCATCAAGAAGGGCGTCAAGGTGCAGACCAGCAGGCCCCCACTCTGAAACTGGTTGCGGTCAGCTGTCACAAGTCCTTCCCACTTGCCCAAGGGGCAAACCCAAATGTCGCACGCACATATGATCCTACCGTTTCAGACCCTGGTCGACTACCATGGTCATATTCATGCCCACCGTATTCTCAGGTGTGACATAGGGCGAGGATCACTTGTCGCTCTCAAAGCTTAAAGTGTCAGACACAGTAGGTCCAACTCCCTCTGACAATCTCGAAACGCGGTTCTCATCTTAATAAGACAAGGAGCATGAGATCGGGTTTCATGCTTTTGGTCAAGTGGGCGTGGCCCAGATGACCTTGTCATTTTCCGATTGGCTTGCATCTCGACGCGTCGATGTCCAAGCGTCGTTCTGCAATGCACCCAGGAGAGGAAGCTACATGCTTTCAACAGTTCACAGTCGCGTAAACTCAGATGAAGAAGGTTCCCTCTGCTTTTTCCTCTCAAGCGCGGCGGTTCGTGGGGACGGGTCCTCTCGTCTCCACAGAGGTGAAAACTCTGGTCTTAGAGCCCATGCGTCGAAGACTAAGTCTATGGAGTTCAGCTACACGGGTCAACCGTATACACCAAAGGCCTTACGCTACAAGCGTGGACATTCCAGTATCGCGCGACATGAACAGAAGTTGATTGTGGAAGAGCGCGAGCCAAGTGTTTGCAAGAAGTGTGGAGAGCTCATCCTCGAGCAGCCCATGCAAGAACAGAAGGATCAAGTTTCCCAGGTTGTTGAGCATGCCAAGCCACCCGCTTGCTACGTGAAACGCTCAAATCTGAACAGGTTGAACACTTCAGCCTGCTCTCTGCCCAGGTTCAAGACTTGAGCCATCTTTCTTGTGGGACTCTTCATGGTTCATGCGATCCTTGGCAGCCGCAGTCTTGAAGAGCTGGCAGGAGAAACAGAAGGGCTGCTGTACAGCGAAGCAGCTTTGCGCAAGGTTGTCAATCCGATTTGGAAGCAAGTCTGCTAGCATTACAAATCATGGTGCTGTACGCTAACCTTGCGCTCAGTGGAGGTGTGGCATGGGTCAGACAACCAGCTGTATGCAGCATTTGACGAACACTACAACAACATGAAAGAGTCAAGAGCGGGGTCGAATTCTTTCCATCGAGATGGCCAGTGTTGGACTGACGCCACTGGACATAGACAGCTCGCAGGGAAAGGGCCGGTATTTACCGGACTCGTATTTGTGCCAAAGGTTCCTTGAAGCACTCTCAACGCTAGCGTCCGGCAATCGTGAGCACATCCCCCGCATAGTCCTTCGAGGATCTTCTGAACCAAGGTCAGCCTATCCTTCGCTCGGCCTCTCTCCCTTTAATGCGCTCTTTCAAGTCGATGATTTCGGCGCGGTGGACAGCCTATCCTTCGCTGGGCCTCTCTCCCTCTAATGTGCTCTTTCAAGTCGATGATTTGGGCGCGGTGACGATGAACGCTTTCTTCTGCTCCTTCTTCGTCGATCTGCTGCACCTTCTCATATTGCAGCGCAGTCCTCAAAGAGTCTGACCCTCAACAAACGTCGAAACTCCCAGCTCTATCGTTCATCAGGCAACCGGGTCTCGTGAAGCTTCAACGTGGTCTTGCCTCCGCATGACCGGCCATAGACAATGCAAATTCAAGACGTGCGCAAAGATGAAAAGTCCTCCTCGGGGGCATTGGGCTCAAGCCAAGATGTTGGTGTCAAAGGTTCCAGAATCGCGGGGCATCCAGGTAATGGACCTGCTGGGTGGCCGGAGTCTTCAAAAACAAAGCCCTGGTTCTGATCAGCCGTCGCTGAGCCTCGGACTCCTTGTAATTGAGGGTCTGCTGGGCCAGCTCGCCTTTGGCGGTCTTAGTGAGGGCAGCCAACAGCTTGGTGTCCAGTGTCCTGAACTTGCCAGGGTCAGCCAACTCTGTGGCAAGCCTCGACTTGTCTTCACAAGTGGCGTAGACTTTCAACACCCACGCGAAAGCGACGCCTGAGTCATCCGACGCGGACCAAATTGCTTCGCGAACGGCGGCCCTTCAAGTTCGGTAACGGTCGGGACTAGGAAATTCGGGGAGCTATTTTATCAGTCCCCTTTGCTTTGGGTTTATCATAGTCTTTGCTCTTTACACCCTTAAACCCTTCTAGCAATCGTTCTTGATCAACTCACCTAAGTCTGATTCCTGATTCGTTCGTGCCTGAGATGCCGGCCCTTCACCTTCCCGAGTGTCCGTCTTGTCTTTAGCATCCCTGTTAAGGGGGCCTGTGAACAGCGGGTCATTGGTGAAGTCTGAAGTCATATTGAGCCGACTTACTCTTGTAGTCTGCCCAGGGATCTGATAACTCTGCTTTCCTTTTAGATGCTGAAGCCTTCTCTTTTGGAGGCGCCCCTGTTCCAGAGAACATGGATGGAAAACCTGTATTGCGTCTGATTGCACTTGCATCCACCGTCGGTTGTAAAGGAACTCCACCATGGTCTGGGGGCAAACCACCTACGGCTGCGGGCACAGAATGGTCCAAACTGCAGGAGTTGCTTCTGGCTTTGGCTCAGTCGGGGCAATTTCTGGGGCAAACAATCCTGGTTTTACCGGGCTGGCTGGTGGCACTGCGGTATCCGAGGCTTTGCCTGTATTGGACAATGCTTGCACCACTTGCCGAAGCTCATCCATTTGCTGTTTCAACTCTGAGTTG